CGAGGGAGCCCTCTATTCAATCCGAGACCTGGTCGGATGGGAAGTCAGCCAGTGAAGAGGCCTCGTCTCATGACGATTCTGCCGTAGTGGAGGAGGTGCAAAAGGATCTTGTGGCGGAAGCCGAGGCTGAGGATTTTGAACCACTAAACGAGGACGAGGAGATGGCCCTTGCCGTTCAAACTACGAAGGAGGAGGAGAAGAAGGAGAAGCGGAAGGTCACAACTGTTGTGTTTCCCCCGCGCAATGCCAGTGGGACGAGTAGCTCCTGGCCTCTCAATCCGGAGCCTATTAGGGTGGCCCCGGGTAAGAAAAAAGAAGGTGAAGGCTGCACCAAAGAAGAAGCAGGCTGCCATCGATGCTGGGCAGCCGATGGGCATTCCCGAAGGCTACTCATACCTGAATACCATTGCCCTGGATGTGAAGACAATGGCTATGATTGTGGAGTACCAAGCTACGCAATTCTTTGGAGGCCATTGGCAGGCGTGGTGGAACCGGGGCCAGATGACGTACTACTGCACGCGCCCGAGGGCTGCTTTGCCGTCCATATCTTGTCGGTGGAATTGGGGCTCCGGTTTCCACTCCACCCCTTCGTGCTGGAATACTTGCGGTTTGTGAAACTGCCCCCCTGTCAGCTAATACCCAACAGTCATTCTTACCTGGCTGGCTTCCTTTCCCTCTGCCGGAGCCGGAAGGTCCAGCCCACCTTGGACCAGTTCTTCCTCTCCTTCAATCTCTGCCGGGGGGCCATTCAAATGTCGGAGGCTTTGCCAATTGGCAGCAGGTCCCAGATTTAAGGATGTTCGATGATGTCCCTTCGTCCCACAAAGGATGGAAAAGTGTACTACTCTCGAGAAGAACGGGAGGAGGCTTGCCAGAAAGCCCGAGGGTTCTGACAAACACGTGACGATCAAAGATGCCACCCTCTCGGATGAGCTGTATGATCTGAACTTCCGTCGATACCGGCTGATGGGGGAGAAGGACAAGAGATACCCCCCATAGATTGTTTCTATGAGAGTGCCGGAGGTGATTCCCGAGGGCTCTAGTATTTTGTACTTAGAAAAGTTTTGTAGTTTTCCTTGTGCTTTATTACTGCAGCATAGTACTTACACCTTTTTCTCTGTTTTGCAGGGAAGGCCATGGATGTGAGATCCTTCGCCAGACTTAAGAAGAAATTGGCTAAGGAGCCAAAGAAGAAGGACACGAGGACCCAAAAACCCATTGATGAATTCTTCCAGAGGGACGAGGGACCCTCATCGGCTGTCCCTGCAGCTGTCGGTGGCGCCGAGGCCGGAGGCGACCAAGTCGCGGCTGCCAAGAGAAAGGCGGCGGGCAAAGTTGTCGTGCCCACCGACAGCAAGCTGAAGAAGGGGGGTGACGAGAAGAAGGCTACCCCCATCGTGGTTGTGGATGAGCACTCCTCGTCCGAGGCCCCGGTCGTGCCGGTGGCCATTACTGTTAACCCCCCTTCGACGCAGCTGGGCGTGGGGGGGTTTCCTCAGGAGATCGTGCAGTTCTCCGTTGTGAAGGGGACAGCCATTGTGCACGGCACCCTCGACCCGAGGGAATTCCCGAGGGGTGTTACCCCTTAGTTGGATAGGGCAGCCCTCAGCAGGTACGAGGATGAAGCTCTTGATTCCAAGATCCTCCGGTCTTCTCTAACTGTAAGATCCCCCCCATCTTTATGTTTCCTTAGTCATTTGGCCTTAGCGTATTTTTCATAATAGTCTAATCCTTTTGCTTGTTTGCTTACAGGCTTGCATCACCCTCGACGAACATATTCGGAGGTGGAAGATATGCGCCTCCAGAAGGCACAACAAGACGAAACTTTGACGAAGCTTGTCAGAGACAACGCCGCCGCCATGAGGGATATGGCGAAGCTGGAAGAGACCCTCTGGCAAATGGAGAAGAAGCTGGAAGCTGCCAGGGTAGAGGCAAGGGCCGATGGCAAGGACGACGCTGAAAAGGCCGTTGCTGAGGCTGCCAAAATAGCCGTCGAGGAAGCCGAAGCGGCCAAGGAAGAGGCTGTCGCTAAGGCTCTTGAGGGTGCTGTCGCCAAAGCTCGAGAGGATGCCGTTGCTGCCTTCGTCGCCTAGGGCTGGAAGGCCGAGGACCAAAAACAATGGTTGGCCTCGGTAGTGGAGGCAACTGTTGATGACTGGGTCACCGGCCCCGGGGCTGAATGCTTAGCCCGGAAGGGTAAAGAGTACTATGATGGGGGCGAGTACTTTACCCAAGCTCTCGTCTACCGGAGGCTCACCCGACATTATGGGTGGACCCGAAGGAGTTTGATCTGGCAGCCTATGTATGGCCTTCCCCCCCCCCCCCCCCCCCTCCAGCAAGACGTCCGTGTTCCCCTCCCTCCGGACTTTGAGAGGCCGGACCTTAAAGATTCCGAGCTGATGAAGGAGGCGCTCGATGAGGATGAAAAGGTCGGGGAGGACGTTACCTCGTAGCCTGCTGAAGAGGTTGCTGCTGAAGTAGCCGATGTTTGATAGTACTTGTAATTTTTTGAACTGTGATGTATGATGACATTTTGTAGCTTTCGGCTTCAGCCAAGATGTAAAACAACTTACTGTTTTCTTTCGTGAATGAATGCCCCTTCTGCCCTCGTCTTTCTTTTATGCCTTCTATGTGTATGGTTTTATGAATGTATGTCTGCATTACGAGTTGACCGAGGGACAAATATTTAGGACTTAGAAAATTTTCTAAGTGATGTTTACCGCTCAGCCCTCGGCTGATATATTCCTTTAGTTGTAAGAAATAGCTGGCCTTCGTCGTCTACCCCCGGGGGAACTGGTGTTGTGGACTTAGCAGATTTTTTAAGTCACTTGTAGGACAAAAGCCTTCGGCATTGATTTAAAATCTCTACTGACCTTCTAAGCCAGTAGCATCCTGCCGAATAGGAGCCCTCGATGTTGACAGTATGGCCGGAGGCTTTAGGAACGTGGACTTAGATAATTTCAGCCCAATACATAATGGCAGAAGCCTCCGGTACTTCATTGTTGGTATCTGTTGGAATGTCGTAGGCTGTAGTAGAGTGGACCTAAAAGCCTGTGCTGGCTTCCGAAGTTTGGCCCTCTAAAGTTTGATGTGGAGAAGGCTTCCAAAATGTGGACTTAGTTGGATTTTAGTAAAACCTCATCTTTATGAGAGAAGGCCTTGGGCCGGTAGATTGTCCGAGGGCTTGGTCGCTCGTATGCATGTTTGTACTTGGTACTTGGTGTCTCAACACATATTCATTTTTGAAAAAGAGGGGGCCTTGTGCCGTTGGATAAGTACATTCGTGAGTTATGAGGGCTTGGCCACTCACATGTTACTGCTAGAATTTGACTAGGTGATGTACATTCCAATGTCTAGGGACCTCGGTCCCATTGGGGCGTTTTAGCTTGTAAGTTCCTGGCTTGATGATGGCTGCAACAATGTAGGGGCCCTCGAACTTAGGTGCTAGCTTTCCACCCTCGGTGGGTTGGCTGGCTTCCCTTCTTCTTAGGACGTAGTCTTCTACTTGAAATTCTCGGGAATGAACCTTCGCGTCGATGTAGCCTTTAACTTGCCTTCGGTAGTTCTCTGCCTTTAGGAAGGCTTGTTCTTGGCACTCCGAGATTAAGTGGAGGTCGAGAGCCATATTGGTGTCGTTGACCTCAGGATCATATTGATCTACCTTTCGGGTGGGGAGAGTTACCTCAGTGGGAGCTTTAGCTTCGAATCCATAGCACAGGGAGAAGGGCGTCTCGCCAGTTGCCCTTCTGGGGGTGGTGCGGTAGGCCCATAAGATGTTGTGAAGTTCTTCTACCCAGCCTCCCCCTTTGGCTTCCAGCTTCTTTTTTAACCCCTCCACTAGAGTTCGGTTGGCGTTCTCCACTTGACCATTGCCTTGAGGGTAGGCAACTGATGAGGTGTGCTTGATGCTCCATGCTTCCAGGAGGGCGTAGAAGGGGGCTGCCTCAAATTGAGTCCCATTGTCGGAGATGATTTGCTGGGGGACCCCGAACCTTGTGAGGATATTTTTGAGAACGCAATGGCGGCACCTGGCCTCGGTAATGCTGGTGAGGGGCTCCGCTTCCACCCATTTGGTGAAGTAGTCTATAGCCACGATGATGTACCTGTTGTTGGAGGTACCCCTCGGCAGTGGACCTACTAGGTCTATGCCTCATCTGGAGAAGGGTATGGCTGTGCTGATGCGGGCGTAGTTAACCGCTGGCCTTCCGGGAGCCTTCTGAAAGTGTTGTTAGGCGGTGCACCTGTAATACTTTAAAATTTTAACGTAGGATACTAGCTTATGCTTCGGGGACGAAGCATTATTTTAAGGAGGGTAGAATGTGACACTCCAAAAATTTAAATCAAAAAAAAAAAATCTATTAGTCAGATAAAATGTTACGGAAATGACATTTTAATTATTAAGTGAGTCAAACAAAAATTCAACAGTTGTGACATTCTAACCAGATAAATTTTTTTCAAGTTTACGACGTTTTAATCAGATAAAAATGGTCCGATAATAAAAGTAATGTTTTAGTATAAAATTAAGTTATGTAATATACACAATAATATACGAAGTACTAAACTACATCTACGTACAAAACTATACTCCGTATAATATAAAGAAGTATACTCCTAATAATACTCCTACGTACAAAAGCTACATATATACAAATGAAAACTAGATAAATAGATAATCAACGATGCAGCTTTAATCAGATCACATATAGAGCCACATTCAGAATCCTAAAGAAGCAAGAACTCCATTCCCGTGAGGTTTTCTTTTTCTTGGCCGGCAAACCAACGAAACCAATCGGATAATCTCAAGTGGAAGCCCTAGACTATTTCAAGAAGCTGTATAAATAGAGTCATCAACCTTCTTTTCCGTCTACGCCAAAGCCGAGCTCGAGACTAATATATATATATATATATATATATATATATATATATATATATATATATATATATATATATATATACACACACACACACACATATACGTGGTATATATATATATGGAATATCCAACCCAGTGATATACGAAATACAAAGCCTTCGAAAACTCTTCTGAAACCTTTCCCTTCGTGAGAGGAATCCAAAGGTGAAAGAATCGTAATAAAATATCGTGAAACAAGGGAGTTATCACTCACCGGAGTTTCGCCGGTTTGAGTTTTGACGTCGAAGAACGGAGGAAAAAGGAGAGCTGCCGCTGCCGCCAAACTATTACTGACCTTCGCCGTCCCAGAAGGAGTGCACCGCCGCCACTAATTCACGGGTACGTTGAGGTTAGCCTTCCCCTGCATTTTTCGGTCGTTCCGACGTTCTTGTGAGGAAGACGACCAGCATAAAGCTGGGGTCCTTTGCTGGGCCGTCCCTTGCTTTGCTATTTGGGCTGGACTGTTTTTTTTTGGGCCGCTCATGCTAACATAGTAAAAACCTGGGCCAACTCTAAGTTACAATAACAATAATAATAATAATAATATTAATAATAATCTGCAAAATGGATCTATTAGAGATGAGAAATATTAATGATGAAATTGTCTTGATTAATTGATTGTAATCACTTGGATAAATTTGTTAATTGTTAATTAACATAACTACATAATGTTAAATAATAAAAAGGAATTGATGGTTTAATTAATATAAACTGATAAACGGATATCGTATTAAAATAATAATTATTTATTTGGACTAAGTAACATGAGTAGATTAATTAAAGTTGGATAAATATTATTTTCACTAATTATTGGATTAATTGAAGTAGAGTAATAAAACTAACATAATTACGGACTCGGAAATATCAAGTGTTTGAGTAATTAATAAAATCAGATTAAATTGATGACGATTAGTTAATTTAAATAATTGTTATAATATTCGGATTTACTAATAATGTCTATTAATATTACGAAATTTGAATAGTTTTAATTAAATATAATTCGGATATGTTTTAATAATAATAAAATATAGTTAATTATTGGGATATTTTATGAGTAGAGTAAATTAATGATGATTTTTAATTTAAATTAAAAATTGGATGTTGAAGTTAATTATATTCGAATATTTTATTATAGAAATCAAATATTGTAACTAAAGGCTGAATTAGTAAGGTAATTTGAGTAATAAAAAGTTTTTAATTCGGATAATTAATTAATTAAGTTAATAAATTCGAATAAGGAAATAAAAGGGGAAAATCGGGTAAAATAATTACAAATAGAATAAGTGACTAATTATATCATCTTAATTAAAAAGGTGAATATTTAGAGACCAGAATTGAAAAAGAGAATTAGGAGCATCGGGACTTAAAGTAAGTTTCACATCAACCGAAATTAGTTCTTTTTCTTCGTGATTTCTTTTAAATATTTTTGTGTGTATATTTGAAAATTGAATTTATATGTGCTGAATTTGAGTGAATATTATTATACGAAAGGGTTGTATTTGAGATATTAGTTGATATATTGTTTTGTTGATATGAGTTATTGTATATGATTTTGGGAGATTTTGTAATAGTACGTAATTTGTTATTGTTGTGGGAGTTTGATGCAAAGGGAATTTTTAAAGTATAAACTTCGATTGATTTTGAGAAAAATAAATATTTTCATAAAAGGTGAGCATCACGGGAGAAATCCGTGGTGTTGGTTTTCCACATCCCTTAAAATGTGGAGGGTGGTTAGGTCTACTACTACTCAATTTTTGTTGGTTTTGGTTTGAGGTGAATTGACAGTCGGTAGAAAACATCCCGGCTTTTGAGTAGTAGTGGTAGTAGTAGTTCCTAATTATTCAGTTTTTGAGGTGGGGTAGTTGGTAGAAAACATCCCGGCTACCCGGATCGACTTACTAACCCGGAGGGCTTGGAATACCTTTAGGGGGTATGCACACTTAAAGTAGTTGTTTCCGTTTCCAAGGAACAATTGTGATACCGGCGATAGTTCCGGGGTGGCCATACATAACAACGAATCACCGGGCTCAACCAGAGTGTTGAGCACCGCCCTTCTAAATTACTAGGAAGTTAGTTACAAAGTGATTTTTGGAGAAATTCAATAGAGGAGAAATTTTGGTGTTTCATGTATTTTGGAATTATTATGGTTCATGAGTTTGTGATTGGGATTTTGTATAGATATCGTTTACTTATGATTTATAAAGTGTTTTGAAAATATTTTTATACTAACGGTTGTACGAATTTATATATATATTATTATTATTATTATTAATATTTTAAAAGGTTAGGTGGGACTTACTTAGCATTATTGCTAATGTTTGTTTCTTTTATTTTTCTTTCTGTACATGATTTTGTACAGGTGTTGAGTCGATCGATGTTGAAGTTGATTTCAAGAGAGAGCTTCCGCTAGAAAACATTATTAGCAAATCATTGTAAATTTCTTTTTCAATAACTTTAATCAGTGAACTTTTGATTTTGAAGTTTAAGTTGTTTTAGCCTGTGCACTCGGTTAAGAGAGAACCGAGTGTGGCGGTAGCACCCATATTTCCCTTTAAATTTTCTGCTGCATATTTTCTGATGTTTTCAAATAAAGTTAGTAATACTTTCCAATAAATCATTATTTAGATGTATTTTTGAGTGGGAAATTTGGGGGTGTTACGGCACCTTCGGGCGACATTTGCACAATCTCGTGCCATTGTGGGCCAGAAATAGCCTTGGACTATGAGCATTCAGGACATAGAGAAGGGTCCCTGGTGGGCTGAGCAAGTGCCATTGTGCACTTCCTCCATTGCAACTTCGGCTTAGTAGTGTGTCGTTGTAGGGTCGTTTGTAAAGCCTTCTGTTTTTTAGGGCATAGCTGGGAGCCCTTAACTTTGCTAGTTTGGTGCGGGTTTCATCCTCGGGCAGTTGCCCTGTGGTGATGAAGTTGATGATGTCCGAGATCCAGTCTTCCGGTCTCTGTTGTATGTCCATGACGGGGCTGGCGTGTATGCTTGAGAGGCCGAGTTCCTCTATCCTTGCGATGTTTGAGAGGTGTTCCGAAGACTCATCCGAGAGTTTGGATAAGATGTCGCCCTTGGTATTTGAGTGATGGAGTGAGCCTCAAATACCTTGAGCAATTCCTTGGCCGCTTCCTTGTACTGCTTCATTCTTCCTTCCTTCGCCTCATACTCTCCAGAGATTTGTCCAACTACTAGCTTGGAATCACACTTTACGTGGATCATCCTTGCTTTGAGGTTGGCGTCCAGCCAAAGGCCACAGAGGAGGGCCTCATACTCTGCTTCGTTGTTGGACACTTTGAAGGAGAAACGGATGGCATAGTAGGCGCGGAAGCCTTCGGGTGTGATGAGAACAACGCCTCCCCCGTATGCTTTTGCTGTCGAGGAGTCGTCTATGTAGGGGGTCCACCATTCGTCCAGGGGTGCCGGGGTCTCCTCATCCATCGCGGACCTCGCTGTGCATTCCGTTACGAAGTCTGCCAGGGCGTGGCCCTTGATGGCAGGCCTCGGCCGGATGTCGATGTTGTATTGGCTGATGAAGATGGCCCATTTCACCATTCGGGAGGAGCTGGTGGGGCTCCTCATTAAAGCGCCGAGGGGTTGGTGTGTGAGGACCTGGACCAGATGAGCTTGGAAGTAGTGGCTTAGCTTCTTGACGGTCCACACGATAGCTAGTACCGTCTTCTCCACGGGAGAATACCTAAGTTCTGCCTCCCTGAGGGTCTTGCTGACGTAGAAGATGGCATGTTGGATGTCGTCCTCCTCCTGGATGAGTACTGAGTTGATGGCCGCAAGGCTAACGCCAAGATAAAGATATAGCGTCTCCCTTACCTTGGGCTTGGAGAGCACAGGGGGTGAAGACAAGTACTGTTTCAATTCTTCAAAGGCTACTTGGCACTCAGTAGTCCATTGGAAGCCGGCAGTCTTTCTCATTACTTGGAAGAAGGGAAGGGCCTTCTCTGCTGATTTGGATAGGAAGCAGTTGAGGGCTGCCAAGCGGCCCGTCAACCGTTAGACCTCTTTCACGTTGCGTAGGGGCTCCATATTGATGATGGCCTGGATTTTCTCGGGGTTGGCCTCGATACCTCTTCGGCTCACCATATTGCCCAAGAACTTCCCTCCTCGCACGCCGAAGGTGCATTTCTTCGGGTTCAGCCGAAGGTTAAATTTTTGCATAATGGCGAAGATTTCCCGGAGATCTCCGGCTTGCTGGTTTACCGCTTGCTCTTGACGATCATGTCGTCAACGTAAGCCTCCATGGTGCGTCCTAGGACAGCCTGAAAGACTCTGGCCACCGTCCGGGTGTAAGTGGCGCCCGAATTCTTTAGGCCAAAGGCCATAACCAGACAGCAAAAGATGCGTTCGGGAGTCATGAAGGCTGTTTTCTCTACGTCTTCCTCGTGCATATATATTTGGTGATATCCTCGGAAGGCATCGAGGAATAACATGATCTCACAGCCCGCCGTCTCATCTACCAATTGATCGATGTTAGGGAAGGGGAAAGGATCCATAGGGCAGGCTTTGTTGAGGTTCGTGTAATCCACGCACATGCGGAAGGTGGGTGGCTTTTGTGCGAGGATCACGTTAGCCAGGCATGAAGGGTACTTCACCTCCCGAATGTGTTTGATGGAGAGGAGCATGGCGATCTCTTTCTTCACGAAGTCCCTCCTTTCGGCCGAGAGAGGCCTTCTTCTCGGCATGTGAGTGATTACCCTTTGGCTGATTCCCAGCATGTCCTCCGGCCCCCATGCAAAAACAATGGAGTAGGCGCGGAGTGCCCTGGTGATGCTGGTCTTCAAGTCTTTGGGGAGCTTGGCTCCAATCTTTGGGACTCTCTGCGGCTTGGCCGGATCGAGTACAAAGTCTTCAGTCTCCTCAGCTGGTTCTGCCCTCAGCCTCTCCTCTTCTTCTACCGTTCCAGTGATGGTGTCAACACGGAACTCATCCTTACTAACCTTCTTAGTTATTTGGAGGTAGCAGGCGTGTGAGAGCTTTTGGTTCCCCCTCGAGTACCCGATGCCCCCTTCAGCTGGGAATTTGAGGCATAGGTGTTTCATGGAGATGACTGCCTCCAGATCCTCGAGGGTAGGCCGGTCGAGGATGAAGTTGTGGACGCAGTTGATGTTGACGACGACGAACTCCACTTCGAGCTTGACTCTATGGAGCCCGTCGCCGAAGAGTACCGGGAGGGATATTACCCCCTCGGAATCGATGGTGTCTCCGGTGAAGCCGGACAGAGGGGTCCGGATGGGCCGAAGGGACTCGCTCTCCAGATGCAGCTCGTTCAACATGATGAGGTACATTACGTTTACGAAACTGTCCATGTCAACGTAAGTCCTGTGGACAATGGTGTTATTAATCGCACTATGGATCACTAATGCGTCCCTGTGAGGGGAGGAACCTGTGAGGAGGTCGGCGTTGGTGAATATAATGGGCTCCTCCTTCAATCACTTTACGGGGATCATATGAGTGACTTCCCCTACGTAAAGGGATTGCGCCCACTTCTTTCTTTGGCTGGTGGAATCTCCTCCTGTGTTGCCGCCAGTGATCATGTGGATGTGGCGTTTCTTTTCTTGGCACTGGTTGTGCCCCTCTTCCTCGCTGAGGTTGCCAATCTCCCCTTTCTTACCATTCGGGTCACCGAGGGGAATGGTGTTTGGATTAACCCAGGTGTTCGCTTTCGCAAGGGGGGCTTGATGAGGATACCCCCTTATGAATTGGGACAAGTGGTTCCGTTCTATCAACTTCTCGATGGCTGCCTTCAACTGGTGGCAGTCATCGGTTCGGTGGCCTGGGTGCCGGTGGAAACGACAGTAGGGTTCCTCGGGGTTGATGGCGTAGACCTCCCAGAGCGCCCTAGAATCTCTCTCCACTAGCCCCCTCTCCTCGGCGTAGTCCAGAATGACGCTGATGGGGTGCGTCAGGGGGGTCCGAGGGTGCTCCATAAGAACGGGCTGGGCCTAGGCCTTCGGGTTATTTTTGTAACCTCCCCTAGGCTTGGTTTGGCCATGCCGGGGGAGATCACCGGAAGGTAACGGTCCCTTGGATTGGTGGAATGGAGCTCCTGGCCCCCGGTGGTTCCTGTCATCCGTCCTAGGGCGTTGTTGTTCGGGGTTTCGGTGGCACTTCTCAACCTCCTCGGCCTCAGCGTATCAGTCTCCCCGCTGGAGGGCCTTTATATAATCGCGGGGAGGTTCGATAATAAGGCTCCTTAAAAAATTCTCGGTGCGGAGGACTGTTTGTAGGAGAGCCATAAGGGTTCCATCGTCGGCGCCGTCAACCTTATACGTCTCTGGCCTCCAGCGTTCCAAGAAATCCCGGAGGGTCTCCTCCTTCGGTTGCCTCACCGTCAGCAAGTGGGCGAAGTGTTTCTTTGATCGGTGCCTCCCTGCAAATTGCGTCCAGAAACGTTGGGCGAGTTCTTGCCATGAGTCAATGCTCCTTTCGGGCAATCAGTTGAACCATTCATATGCTGGTCCTTCCAAGGTGGAGAGGAACCAATGGCATAAATATTCATCCGATGCCCCCATCATCATCATGTTGTTCTGATACTTGCTATAGTGTTCCTGGGGATCCGTCTTCCCTTCGTAGGGCTTGATGGGTTGCCCTCGATACTTCCCCGAAATTTGGGCCGCCAATACCCTTGGGGTAAATGGCGTCCTTGTCTGAAGCTGGATGACGGGTTCTCCGGTGCCTTCAGCAATCTTTTTCTGCATCTCGTCCATCTTGGCCAGCATGGCCTCATATTTAGGGTCTGCATGGGAGGCGGAAGCGGTTGTGTGCACTTGTCGGGCCTCCATCTCATCGAGTCGGCGCGGAAGGGTCGCAATGATATCATCCCTGGGGTCCTTCGGCATTGGATCTGCCCCCAGGGATTGTACGCGGGCTGAATGAGCCTGGTTGATTTGGTGCCTGGCGTCATCAGCATGTAGCAATCCACTGCCTTTGTCCCGAGGGGGACGCCTCTCGTCTGCCCTCGAGACATATCCTTCGTTTTCTTAAGGCCTTTGGAACACTTTGCCACTGAGGCGGTCTTGGACCCCTCGGGGATCAAGTGCTCCTGCGAGCCTGTCGAGGGCGGAGGTCCGGGGCCTCTCTTTGTTTGCACCGCGCTGGTCCCGGGACTGGACCTCCTGGGAAGCGGTGTCCTGAGCCACGACCCCTTCGTTGTTCCCTATCCGAAGGATAGGGTTTACGAAGGGGGGGGGGGGGAGGTGGGAGAAGAACGACGTTCTCCCCAACCTGCGGTTGAAGCGGCACCAGAGTGCCGAAGGCTCCAGGATTCTGGGTGAGCGTCTGTATGAAGGCATAAAATGCCGACTGCACGTCAATAGTGAGGACCGGAGGGCTTACTTGGTTTTTCGCCCCGGTCCGTCCTCCGAGTCTCGATGCCAAGGCGGGCATCGGGAGCATTCTTCTGGAGCTGAAGGCGC